AGGTAAGTGCCAATTGCGGCCAAACAGGACACCCGGCTAGCTACCGCGGCTGCCCATACTACAAAAACGCGATAAACCTGGTAAAAAAACGTGCACATGCTGATCGAGCCCCCACCAATACACGCATCAAGGCCATCAGCAAACAAGTGAGCCCCGCAGTTTCATTCGCAGCGGCCACTCGGAGCTCACACCAACCATCGAATAGACCCCTTCTATCCTCCCTAGATTCAAGATGGCCTGAAACCGCTCCTCTGCACGTGCCCTCTACAGGTGCTGCAAATCAAGACATCCCACGCTGGTTTGAAAACCTCAAAAGAGAACTCATCGACGTACTCTCCCCAAAAATACGAGACATCAGCAAGCAGGTGGCCCTAAATACCGCTAAGATTAACTCCATCATCGGTATGATGGGCTACAACCTTGAGGAAATATAATGGAGAACCCTCCTACCATAATACCCCAAGAAACACCTCCTCAACAGGATAATACACGAACTTTGGCATCGACTATAGGAGGCAGAGCGCCCAACCCTCAGCATTAAACAGACCGCCCAACCCTGAGCATGAAACAGGAAGACGCAGAACCCGCCTCCGCTAGCATCAGCACAGACACACGTCCCCTATGGACTTTCTCTCACCTGTACAAATGTAAATATTTAGATCTAGTTTAACTCTAAGTTAATGATCTCGTTCGACAGGCATTTTTTTAATTGGTCTTCTTTTTAGCCTAACCGTAGCACGCCTCTCAGGCGACTTAGTTACCGGCAATATGCCCCTCAGGGCCTTTGCTTCCAACGCCACTAAAAATTCACTGTAATACCAGAAGTAGCTAATTGAGCTCACATAAATTAGATTTATGAGTTGCTGTCCTGCAGCCATGTATTTTCAAGCATTTCCTTCTTCTGTCCGACTGTTCTTTGGCTGAGTTCATTGACTCTCGCTCAATTCCTATGTTCCATTTTTGACTAAATAAATCAATTCTTTAAAATAAAAAAAGTAGGCCATAGGGAGGAAGAGCGAAGGTGTACAAACGATTTCCTTCGGAAAACACCCCTAATTTGGTTTTATTGATCATTTTTTAACTCGTTGTCGGCTAAGATCCTGCCGAAATTTAATTAATTTTTTTTAATTAATGAGTTGATGTACAAACAAAAATTTTATAGGTACAATCATGTACTAACGATGTACAATCGAGTACATAATTGCGTTTTTCCAATTACTGACTCTTGTCGGGTAAGTATCCGGGGGTGTACGCTACCAGTACGCCGTACTAGTATCGTATGGGTTTTAAGTACCTCATTTCGTACAAGCTTGGAGCGGTACGACGTACGTATACCCATATGGGCGTGCGTTGCTATCTCGCGGTATTACGGTGCAGGTACGATACCAGTTCGGCCATACTCTCGAAAACCCAACGGTACGCTGTGCTATCTGGATAGTTGTCACCACATAATTGCCAGGTAGATACTTTTCTGATTCAGCTCGGTTGAAGGTTCATTGTAGCTTATTGTCAGTTTCTTTATCTACAAAGGTAATTGAATGGATTCTTTGCCCTACAATGAAAAAAACGAAGGAGGGACCAACTGCTTCCTAGATAAGTGTTCAGGTAATAAAAAGGAAATTAATATTTACCTTCAATTGCAATAAATGGACTAACAATAACCTACAATGGACCTTCAAATAGGCTGAATGAAGAAAAAAAGTTTTTAATTATGTGGTGGTAACTAAATGGGGTCACGCTGTGCGCTGTTACCGACGCTTTCGTCCGCGGTCTGCCAGCTCTGAGAAATCGACCCTCGAATTGAATAAACTAATTATTTGGACCTTGCGAATTGGTTGCAGGTGGTTTGCAGGTCAATTATTGATATAAGTTACCGTTTGTTCGATAATAATTGATTTTTAAAGATTTCTTAAAAAGAATTAAAACTTTTATCGGAAGATCAGCTGAAAATTAACGGGTTACTGACAATGAGTAATTTTTAATGATTTTCCAAGTTGAGCGTTAACTTCTGATAAAAATTTTAATTGTTTAAAAAAAATCATGAAAAATCAATTATTATGGATCAAACGGTAATTTTTTAATCATTGAAATCCAAACCACATGCACACGAGTCCCGGGGTCCAAATTATTTATTTATTTAGAAAAAGTTGGGGTCTAACTTCCGGTAAAAATTTTCATTATGTTAGAAAAATCATTAAAATCAATTATTATCGATCAAACGCTAATTTTTAGCTATTATGGAGGTCCATTTGCAGGGGACTTACAGGTTAAGTCCCCTGCAAACGATTCATATGATCCAAATGATCAATTTCTTTAATTCGGTGGTCATTTGTTGGAGCTCTGCCATACTCCAATACCGTAACGAATTAGTTCAAGCGCCACCGCTATTGATGAGTGATTTCAAAAATACGATTGATTTGAACACTTTAAGGCCCGGATGGAGGGAATTTTTTCTTGATTGGCGATTTTACGCCCTCCTACTTCGCGGTCAAGACCCGAACCTTGATCTCAAGCGATGCCTTGTCGGTAACTACGGCAATCGCTGGAAACCAGGGAAACATTGGACAGTGGGGCTTTCGAGGGCGCCGGAAATATTTTTCATTCCCTATGCCACTAAGTGGCATGAGAGATTTATATCTCAACAGAGCGGTGAGAGCGATGAGGGGGCGGGGGGGAGATGTATCCAAATGTGGAATCCACTTTTTTCGACCATCACTAAACCTCTTTTGAGCTGATCGATGGGATAAAAACAAAAGTCTCTACAGGGGTAACTAAATCGACTCAGGGGGTGATTCTGAGTCGATCTGTACCTATAAATTTCGACTTTTTTTTTTCACCCTCACTAACCCTCCCTCAAAATGACCGATGAGATGAAAAAAAAGTATTAACAGGGGTGGGTAAATCGACTCAGGGGGTGATTCCGAGTCGATCTGTACCTATAAATTTCGACATTATTTTTTCACCCTCACGAACCCTCCCTCAAAACGACCGATGGGATAAAAAAAAATGTCTCCACAGGGGTAGGTAAATCGACTCAGGGGATGATTCTGAGTCGATCTGTACCTATAAATTTCGACATTTTTTTTTCACCCTCAGTAACCCTCTCTCAAAATGACCGATGGGATGAAAAAAAAAGTCTTTACAGGGGTGGGTACATCGACTCAGGGGGTGTTTCTGAGTCGATCTGTACCTATAAAGTTCGACCTTTTTTTTCACCCTCATTAACCCTTCTTCAAAATGACCGATGGAGTAAAAAAAAAGTCTTTACAGGGATGGGTAAATGGACTCAGGGGGTGATTTTGAGTCGATCTGTACCTACAACTTTTGACCTTTTTTTTCCACCCCCACTATTACATTTCCAAAATGGCCGATGGGGTAAAAGAAAAGTCTTTACAGGGATGGGTAAATCGACTCAGGGGGTGATTCTGAGTCGATCTGTACCTATAAATTTTAATCTTTGTTTTCCACCCTCACTAACCCTCTTTCAAGATGGGCGACGGCGTGGAAAAGGGTCCACAGGTGTATGTAGATTGATTCACGGAATGATTAGACGGAGTTGCGGAGTCCAATCAGTGTATTGGAAAAAAATAAAAATAGAAGGGTGAACTGAGTGCATTGGAAAACAATTAGGGGTTGAGGGTAGGAAGAGTGTGCCAGGGTGCAAAAAAGATTCATGGTGGGATGAATTCATTCGGCAAAAATGATGGTTGAGGGTGGAATGAGT